TTGCGGTTAGAAAATTGCACTTGATCATGTCGCGATATTATCGCAAATGCGATATATCGTTCAGCCCTATTTTATATATAAAATTCTTTTGCTTGACCCACCACAAAATTTAGCAGCTTCCACTTTGAAGCCTCTTTTTTTGTATAGCCAGCACCAAAGAGAAATACCAATGGAGACCAACCCACTTCACAATTTTCAAAGACAGACTCCAACATAACAAACAGTGGTTCAAGGTGTTAACATGTGAAAAATGGTTTCTGTTTCCTGACAAAATGGACACGATTCACTTGCACCTTTTTTAACCTTGGACACAAAACTATTAGCAGCAATGGCCCCGTGCAAAATCCTCCATTGTAGATCACCTGACCTCTTATTCAAAAGGGGTTTATAAAAGACGCATCATAGAGGTTTTTTACTATCCTCAACTTTTAACTTCTCTCCATACAGTATCTGTTCTTCCACTCAATTTCATTTTATTTAACCATTGCACAGACAATTTAGTTTTCCACTCAACCTGTGAAAATCTGAGTCTTTTTGGTACACAAGCATTGGTCCTGCCATGCCTGTAAAATCAATATTCAATCCCAATCCTGGAAAAGGATCCCTTTCATCAGGAATCTCCAATCCACTGGAATAGTCCAACAGCATTTCCTTTTCAAATGCAGTTAACCGTCTAAGCCACGAGTCCAGAATACACCTGATAATCCGATTAGATGTCACACCAACCAAAGACGCTGCTGCTTCTGTGTTCTGAAGGTCTGGTCCTCCACAATTTGTCTTAGTTTGAAAAACTTTGACTCAAGCAGTCTTTTTGCAAAAGAAAATCCTGTTCCATTATGTGCATCCAGCAAACAACAACGGTTCCTCTAGAAGCCAAAACAATGAAGAAGTAGTTTCCAGTCTTTTCCATGTGAAAATGGTCCAAGCTTTGAAAAGTCCCTTATAAAACAGTGGCATGTCAAAAGAACATATCAAATTACAATTTAATAAAAACATTGAAGCATCCAAGCTCAACTCTCCTATTCGTCTTAAAATAACACTAGTTACTGGTTTCCAGAAAACATCTTCTTCCCTTCCCATCAAGTACTTCTGAATAAACTGCAATCTGAAAGTAGCAGTTCTGCTCTCCAGGTGAACCAGCCCGTGTCCACCTTCCTCTTTGGGCAAAAAAAGCACAGCCTGGGGTATCCAGTGTCGGTTATCCCCCAAAATAATTGGTCAACAGAGATTGAAGTTTAGACAATAAGCCAGGGGGTGGCTCCAGACAAGCTAATCGATGCCACAATACAGAAGAAACTAAGTTGTTTAATAATAACGGATTGGATTTATATAGCACTTTTCAAGGCACCCAAAGCGCTTTACAATGCCACTACTCATTCACTCTCACACTGGTGGAGGCAAGCTACAGTTGTAGCCACAGCTGCCCTGGGGCAGACTAATAGAAGCGAGGCTGCCATATCGCACCATCGGCCCCTCTGGCCAACACCAGTAGGGTAAAGTGCCTTGTCCAAGGACACAACAACCAGGACAGAGAACCCGGGGATCGAACCGGCGACGTTCCGGTTACAGATACGCTTCCCAACCCCCTGAGCCATGGTCGCCCCAGCCATGGTAGTTTATAATCTAAACCCTCCCTCTATATGACATCTGGGGTAATAACCATCTCCACTTCCCTAATTTCCCCTCAACTGTCCCCAACACCCCTTCCCAGTTCTTGTTTACCATATCCTCATCCCCCAAGTACACACCCAAATACTTTAGAACCACCCCTTTTCCACTTCAAACCACCTGGAAGTTGCGGGAGTCCAGTGCGCCAACCCCCTATTGCAAGAGCTTCGCTCTAACAAAAACAATAACATCATCAGCATATGCAGATAGGTTAAAAATCATGTTAAAACCTGCTAAACTCATACCAGCCATAGAACACCTAACATTATGTAACATCGGTTCAATAGACAGAGCATACAACATACCAGAGAGCGGACAAAGGAGAGGGAGAGAGAGGTTTCTGCCCGGATGGACCCTGCTGTTTTCTTGCCCCTGACTGTCTTCACTACTGGTGAACTAACTGCTAACTGCCCGTTTCTGATTGCCCCACTAACAAACTCATTGGACTCATGAGTACTAACTGGAACTAAAGTGCACATATTTTGTTTATTGCTCAGCTTGAGTGAAGCGGCCAACAGTTTTAAGCCTCACCGCACCCGAACTTCGAATCAGGCCTGCAACAAGCACTGTGCTACCGGTGTAGTGTGGACAGGTTAAATATTCAAATGTACACTGTCTCCTGACTGTGCGCAACAAGCTTGGTTCCTTTTAGAGTTTTTCTTTGACTTTTAACTTTATGACTGTTGTGTTGTGTTTTTTTATTAAAGTGCACTGAGGACACACCAGTAGCCGTGGGACCTTTGGTGGTGGTTATTTTCCACACTTCCTTTGCTGTACAGCACCTGGGGTGTAAGCTTGATTTTTGTGTGGTTTTCAGCTACTGGTAAGTCCAGTTCAATGTATGGTTTTATGTAATCCAGGACACTGTTAAAATATGCTGTGCCACAGTCAGATTTCATCTTTTTTATCTGTTGTTTAATTGTGATAAATACAAATAAATGACATATTGATATTGGAGCCAATCTGCCTCGGTGTTGAGTCCTTAAACCTGTGTCTTTTCTAGTTTTTAAGAAGACTTTATATTAACTGGGGGTGAAGTACCCCTTGGTGGCATTGTCATTGTATTATTTTGATATAACCCTTGTTGACCACTTGGTCACATATACTTGTGGCCACACCACCATGAGCGCCTGATCTCGATGTTATGTTTTTTAAATACCATCACCATGTTGCATAAATGTTCCCACTGTAAACCTTCACCAAAGTCCACAGAAGCAAATTTAACCACTCAGCAGCCAAACTGGTAATACCTGTCTTAAATATGGGCTAAGCTCTGTGCTTTAAGCTTAATCAAAATATCAAACAAACCAAACAGAAATTGGCTGTGTGCAGGCAGGCAGGGAGAAAGGACCCAAAATCCAGGACTCGGAGGCAAACGTAAACTCAACAAGACTTTATTGCTGATAGCAACAGAACAGGAACTTCACTAAACTGAGAATCCAAAACCGAACTAAGCAGGCAGACAGAACACAGTTAACGTGAGCGTACGATGCGACACTGAGCAAAGGCAAAATAAAACAGGAAACAATACACAAAGACGGAGACTAAGAAACACAGACTTTAAACGGGCAGAACTAAACCTAAACCAGAATAAGCTGGAACATACTAAATAATACTAATCATCACCATCATCATCATCATCATCATCATCTCCTGACAATAGATCAAGAAAATAACTAAAAATACAAAATTAAACCAAAACATGAGAACTCGAAATGTTGGGTCAATTTGACCCAGAACCGTGACACTGCCAGAGCCAAAAATGAACTGAAAAAAAGTGCAATTACTCTAATGTCCACTTGAGGCTCCAAAAGCGAATTGGTTCCCACAGACAACCACGTTGTCCAGAGCAGTAAAACAACAAGTACACGGACCATCATCTTTACTATGATAACAATGAGCTGAAACTGTCTGACCCTCATCTTTGACCTCCCCACCCCCATGAAGAAAACGCAACATTACCTGTGCTTCGTCTGTCTGGTTGTTTTTGATGACTGGATGCTTTGATGTTGTACTTGACATGAGTCAGGATGTCATCTTCTCCAGTTTCCTCTTGATCTGCTGAAATGATCCAACATTAAAAAAAAACTGTTCAATTAGATATCTAAACAGAGATTACATTTAAGAAAGCACAGACACTGTGCTTGTGCTCCATCCCCACAATTTGGACATCACAGAGTTACTTGGTAAATGGAGATTTTCATCGAGCATGGTGCTCAGACTTAGCCAGCATGCACTGTACATGTTTGGTTGTAAGATTGTAACCCCTTTGTAGTGGAGACCTGTGTTTGGACATTGAGAAGAGGTAATTTCTACATCTCTTAGTGCTGTTTTGCCTGCGTTCTGCCTCTCTCTGTATGACCCACACACAGAGGGATTCGGTACCTCTGAACATGCTAATAAGCAAGACGTCTGGGCAAAACCGCTTTCCGCTGATTCTCTGCAGCTTTTTTTCTCTCTGTGCAACATTTCTTGGCATTTGGAGGTTCTCTGTTCAGTCTGCCTCTTTATTCAGAATCATTGAGATGTCACGGAGGTTGACACGCAACATGGCGCCTGTGTTCGGCTTGGCCGCTGTTGCTGCTCCGTGTGTTTGTCGACTGCTTCAGTTGACACCAAAGTCCTTAGAAGCAAATTTAACCATTTAGCAGCCAAACTGGTAAAACTTGTCCACATATGGGTGAGGTTCGGTGCTATAAAGTTTAATCAAACAAACCAAACAAACTTCCAGACATGAAAAAAACTGACAAGAAATGCAATTACTCTAATGTCCACATGAGGCTCCAAAGGTGAATCAGTCACCACAGACAACCATATTGTCCAACGCAGTAATCCAACAAAACAACAAGTAAAATGACCCCCATCTTTACTACGATAACAAGAAGCTAAAACTGTCTGAACCTCACCATGAAGAAAACACAACATTACCTCTGCTTCGTCTGATTGGTTGTTGTTGATGACTGGATGTTTTGATGTTGTACTTGACATGAGTGATGATGTCATCTTCGGTTTCTTCTTGATCTGCTGAAATGATCCAACATAAAAAAAATTGTTCAATTAAATATCTAAACAGAGATTACATTTAAGAAATTTGTTACTGCACAAACTGAAAACTCCATGGCTGCAATGTCACATTTTCAGAGAGGTAAGTAATCGATAAACTGAGCTCCATGCAGCACAGTGCAGAGACATATTGCTCACATACCCTATATCCACTGTTTAGGTGGTGGTAACCCCTTTGTAGTGGATACACGTGTTTGCTCATAAGTAAGAGGACATTTATACATTCCTTAACTCTGCTTTTCCTGAGTTATCTCTGTATGACCGACACAGAGACATCCTCTGATGCTTTTTATCTCTTTGTATGACCCCAATGGGATTGGCAACACTACCGTGTTTGGAAAGACTAGATTGGGCTTATTTCTAAAAATGAGTCAAGTAACATGCAAGCATGCATCAAGTAACAACCGCACACATAAAAGTGCAGGAAGTTTGATTCTCACCTTCAGGTTTTCTGTGAACACATTGTTTCACCAGCAGAACCAGTAACACCAGTAGAACCACAGCACAGACTGATCCAACACATGACAACACAGGTATGAGAGGGGAACCAGGGCTAGCGATGGAGGCAGGAGGAGAGGTGGATGTAGGTGGAGGTGTGGATGTAGGTGGAGGTGTGGTGGTGTGTTCCCCTAAAATAAAGCAAACACAGTCATTAAGTTGTCGTCACATTGTGAATGTTGAAA